CTAAAGGACAGCTACCTAAAATAAAGGACTGTCCTTTACAATAAAGGACGTATGGTCACCGTACGTATACACGTTCACTTTGCGATAACACGTGGAATCGATGCACAATTAAATACAGATCGATAAGACAATGTTAATATTTCACATTCCTATCATAATCCTTATAATGATTTCTATAAATTACTAACTCCTAATTGACAACGATCGAGCGAGAAAATATCGTCATAACTTTTCTCTTATTGTAAAAGTAAAAAATTATCAGACAATTTATCTGAATAAGTTTACATAATATAAATGTGTCTAATGTTTGTTGAAACGTCAAATGTCCACTTGCCATGACAGATAAAGCTTCCGGCTTGTAAATCACATTCAACATACTATGTTCACTTCTGCAAACAAACGACAGACTCGGATTGGTGCCCTAGTACCGATAAAGTAAAATTACGAACCGAGATATGCTCTCGGTCAAAATCAACATAAAATTTTGAGAAAATTAATATACAATTTTCGTTATTCTCAAATATTCTTTTATCGAATATTGAATAAATATGTAATTTTATATGTTTATGATTTTATCTTTTTTCCGTTACGATGCAATCATTAAAATTCAATCTACATTAAAAAATGAAATGCATAATTTTTTAGATACCACAATAGCTGTACCTAGTATTTTCAGATACTACAATCTGTACTACTGTTGTGAACGTATAGTTTTTTTGATAAATAATTGTATTTGATAAACAAAAATAAAAAGTATCAATGATTACCTATTACTTATTTAAAATGTTTATTTTTCGAGACTAGACACGAAACGATCCTTGCGCAGTTGATTTCATCTTCATGACCTCGTAATTTCACCGTCACACTCTTATTCTTGCGCTCCTCCTGCTTCCCTCGCTTCCCTGTTGTCTTTTTTTTATCTTCTCCTTTTTTTTCTCGCAGGCCGGGGATGTCGTACAGCTTTTCGCACGCCCGTGTCGCTGCCGGGAAACCGTACTCGCAGAGTATGAGAGTAAGCAATTTTCTCTCGAAGATGGAGCGGCCCTGGGACATCGTCGGTGCTCCAGGGAGAACGTACGACGATGCGAGCGAGCGAGTGAGTGAGTATGATTGATGCGGTTTGTCGGTCTCGCCTGACGTCCAACATCTCGTCTCGCGTCATGCTCGTGGATACTTACGCCCCCGACGACGACGACGACGACGACGACGACGACGACGATGATGATGACGGCGACACTCTCGATGTTACAGTCGGCTACACTTTGCGCATTCAGTCGCGGGACTGAACTACGCTGAACCGCTGCGTCTCGATTTTCCAGCGTACGCGCAGAGAATGATCTGCCAGGGAATATGGAGTATCACCTTCTCGAGAAACTTAGTTGAATTTTTTCTAGTTATATGCACCCCGACGAGAGAGAGTTCTCACGTGGAAAAGGAAGAAGACACTACATTACCCTGAGAATCCAATCTAACAAATGTATTGTCCATACAGGTATATTTATCATCTCGCGGCTATTTGTATAAATGGCCCCATTTCACGAAGAAGAAATAGTTCGTACCTGACAGTCCCGCGATTTAGTAGTTGTATCGCGTTTATATAATTGTTTATATCGGAAACACAAAAAAATTATGCGCCGTCTTCGTGAAACGAATTATATGACATATACGTATTGAAATGCGGTGAAGATGGCATCGCAATCTATTCCTTGCAATCTAAGCATTACGGCTTAAGTGATTACATCGTTAACTCCTTTATTGGTCGTAGACACTTTCGCAGAATTGATTATAAAAGTTGTCTCCGAGATGTGGACGTTACCAGTGGTTTTTAAAATATATATTGTCAACATGTTATTATCGTGGAACCTTAGAATGCAGCTTTAACAAGCTGCATGTCTGTTAAATTCTGTTATATTTGGCTTTCGCATCTGATTCGTTTTACCGCAATGCCGCGTTGCAGAGTCGAGTAAGCATGTAGCATGATAATTAAATTGTGTCATGAATCATATTAATTTATGGATGTAACAGCGTAACTATACTCCGACTACTCGGAAAAGCTCCATGAACAATCATCACTTAATTTGTTGCAAAATTCTATACTCTCAAACTGCATTTACAACTTTAAAATTCGTTCTAGTAATTGCTAAAAATAATTTTTAGCAATTAAAAATATTATTAAAAGTATTAAAATATAAATTTAATTTGGCATAAATTTAATAACTACTAAATTTATTTACACAAACATCTTGCAATAATTTCGCAACCGTTATCATGATAAATAAGCGCATGAAAAGTGGACGCATAATCTCGTCTCTTATCGGAATGAAAAAGCGCAGGTGAGAAGAATGCAACGAATTAACGAATAGATCGGTTATCAATGCAGCTGAGAATTTTTTATATATATACTTTTTGTATATGTTCTTTGCGCGATTATGCAGTCTGCGAATTGGAACTTTGTGGTCATTACCTGAACCTAGCAAAATAATTTAATATAAAATTAGTGCGTTGAATCCAAAAATCAGATCCACTTGTTGCTATTAAAGAATATAATTTTTTTATACTTAAAGAATTTTATCAATATCGCAACAACCATATTATATAGTAACATAAAGAAAATATGAATTTTATTACAAATATTTTATTTAAATATAAAATATTTAATAATTTGAATATATTAATTTTTTAAATCTAAATCTTAAAATATAAAAAACTGAATAAAACAAAAACAAAACGTTAAAAATAAGTGATGCAAGATGTTCATACAATTCACAAATCATTGTTTTCTAGTTTAATTTAATGTATGATTATTCTAAATCAGTAATTACTGTCACAAATTAAAACGTTAACATTCATCGTCTTTATAACTTTATTACTGTCACAAAATATATCGTATAAACCTACATAGAACAATAATAAAAAATTAGTACGTGACAGAAATCTTTTAGCCTCGTCGATTTTGGATTTAGCGTAATGTCAGTATATTAAAATAAATCTGATGCAATAAATTCCTCGCAGGCTAATGTTAGCTTAAATGAAGTTAAAGTAGACAGATACTGTATATATTTTGGCAACAAAAAATTAAGCCTATTGTACACAGCATATACCTTATCGAAATATGCGAAGTGTCGTGTCATCAAAAATTCTGCTTTATCGGAAGTCACGTCAATTCAGAAAGTATCGTCGTTGTTTCGGCAGACGATTAACTTGTTAAAACTGTTTGACGCTTGATAAACTTTATTGCCGCTCGATATCGTGTTGGATTTATCCCTTCAGAGCGTATCATAAAAGATTTTCAACGTTCCTATCGGGGAATACGCGCCCGCTCGATTTTATGAAAGCTAAGATTAAAGTAAATTCTTATCTGAGCTAACACAAGAAAAATCTGTCATAAGAAATTTTTATCAAAATCTAATTTTCCTTTAAATTTTAATATTTCCAAACACGCAATTTTTTAAATCCATCGTCATACACTTAAATTAAAACGTTACCTATCGTTTCTTGTTTTTCTACAAACATTGTTAATTTCAATTGTATCGTACATATATTAATTTCTATCTGAAGTTTAAAATATAGAATTGATTTTCCAGATAATACTTTGAAATTCGTCTATTTCTATCAAACCTGTTTTCTCAAACAGATATCATCTATAAGTACACAATCCCCTGAAAGAGCGATGAACGTGATCTAGAAACTTCTCAACCAACCACAAAGATTTCATCCCCTTCGAAATCTCATCTTCCAGGAAATATCGAAGATCACCCTCGCGGCTGTAAAAGCATGAGCTCTCTTTCTCACCTTCGCTCCCGTTGCCTAAATTTTCTAAGTTCGCTCCTTGTATCCAGCAGCATCCGCTATCACGATGGGTGTTGAAGGACGAGCGCCGTGCACGGCGCTCATACGTGCATGTGTGCGGTGGGGGGCAGCGCGCAAATATCAATCAGTGGAGTCAAGAGTGGAATCAGGGTGGCCGAGTGGTTCCACATAATGCTGCAACCAGGAGGTGAGAGAGCGTAGCGCGCAACGTGTATCTCGTGTTCGGTGGCCGGTGGTGCAGTTCAGACACACACACACATACACACGTACGCGCACAGACGTGAACCCGCGCGTATATACACGTACCGGAGGCGCGTACGCACACAAACGCGCAACCCCATCAGCAACCCCACATGCGGTACCGGAGCAACGACGCTCCGGTAGCGTTCGGTAGCGTCGTCGGCCCCACTCCTCTTCACGGATCGACGAACGTCCACGTGTTGGTCTGTGCGTGCACCACCACGTATACGAGGAACAACCCGGTGTGTGTGTGGGTGGAGTGGAACCGAGAAGGCGTGCCCGGGAGGCGGGACCCGGGACCAAAATCTTGGTGTGCATCGCACTTCTGTGTGGGTGTTCCCTCTCCGTATGAACACCGAACGGTGTGTGCGTCGTTTGCGTGGCTCTCTCCGTCTCTCTCCTTCTCCACGTCCGCCGCTCTCGCGGCCGTCATCGCATGGGAGTCCCTCCACTATCAGACCCGTTAACAGCAGTCGGCTTCGAGGCACCCGCTCTAACAGCTAACGTCTCTCACATCCCCGGGCTTGAGCCGGTGCTCCGCCGTTTCCGACCTGTCCTGTTCGGCCGATGGACTGCACGGAAATCAGTGTCGCTGACAACCGGAAGCACCCTCTCTTGCGCGACACGTATTCATCGTCACAAAAGACAGAAGCTGTCCTGCGAGAGCCAGTCTAGGCGTTGACGAATTATCATCAACAGACGGCTTCGAGTGTCTTCTGTGCCGACAAAAAAATCCGTAGTGCTCGTACGCTACCACGAGATTGACAACCCGTGAAAGGATGAAGTCCGCGAACAGGTAGTCCTGAGAAAGGATTGTATCAAACACACTTGGGGTTGCATACATTGCTAATTAAGAAGACATCTCTTAAAGGGTTACCAAACAGACAAGTCTCTAATTGTTGACGAATCTCCACAAATCTCCAAAGATTCGAAGGATTTCCAGAGACAGGATTGGCAACGGCCTTGATAGGACTTTCTGGATAATTTTATTCGAAATCAAATTAGGGAAGATTGTGTATGTTTGTTTATTGCTGAGAAAACTTAAAGATTTTGCTAACGTGTTGGGGGAGGAGATGCGAATGTCGTGTGTAGTGACGCGAAAGTTGTAAGACGGTGAACGGACTCGAGGTCCAGGATGATGGAAGTGCAGCAGCAACACTCGCCTGTCGGGGTGGGTCCGTTAGACTTTTCAAGACGTGGGGTTGCCGAGGCGTCGGCGTTTCGAGTTGTCAAGCCCAAACAACCGGCTTCGTCGCTCGTGCATCAGCAACCGCTGCCGCCGGAAACCAACAACAACGAAAATCTTCAAGAGAACCCGCAAATTCCCATCGATGAAGGTAAGATTTCTTAAATGTTCTGAGTTGAATTATCAATGTAACGATTAGTTAGGATATTATTTTTTGGCATTTTTAAATTGTAACCAGAATATTTCTTTAAGAACATTTTTAAAACAAATTTTACAGTACTTTTGGTATTGTTACAATAAAAAGCAGGTTCAAGTTAAACAATAATTCTTTTATTCACATATAATAATATGTGATATATAAACAGCAGATAATATAAAATATGTGATATCTACAATATATAAAAATGATTTTAGATTATAAACACATTAAATTTGAAATAAAAAATGTGTATAAACATACATAATTTCTCCTAAAATTTTGAGTTGTAGATAAAATTAAATTATAGATAAAAAGTTAGACAAAGTGTAAATAAAAAGCGTGTACAATCTTTCCCAATTTTGAGTTATAAGTACATAAAGTGCTGGGACACACTAATATTTGTAAACGTAAATAAATTTAACATTATTTGATTTTTTATAAATTAAACAATGTTTGATTTAACATATTTTTAATTAAAGAGAATTTTTCCATATCTATTTAACGTGAATTCTTCAGGGATACGAAAATATCACACCTTAAAATTTCAGTATTCATTTAAATACAATATATCAGCTTTTCGTCAGTTGTATTCGTATATTTATGGATGACATATACATATATTATCACGATTGAAAACCCAGTAAGCCATCAATTATTTTGATCGAGACACCCACGCGCATCGATCAAGCCCCAAATACGCGGAGGAAGCCTCATATCCAGATAATCAGTCGAAACATATCACATTCAGGCCTTTGACATCTCCGGCCGTATGCCACTCGCTGACGCAGCCCCCCTCCCCCCGACTGTCACCCCGTGCCCATCTCTCGCCTGTCATCATCCTATCTATTACCTGCCTATTACCCTTGCAACGTGGCGTTTACGCGGTAGCTCTCCGCAGCTCGCGTCGACACCTGAGCTTGATGTGGCACGCACACACGCGTGAGGCTCGCGCTTGCGGTTCCGGAAGCGAGCGGGACTCGGGATGCTCGTACAACTCACGCACGAACACGCACACGCGCGTGCAGGTGCGTAGGGGGTCGTCATCGTGCACAACGGTCTGTTCAACAGGTGAGAGGGGATGGCGTGGCATTAGACGGCTGCCTATACTAATACCCCGCTACTAATCGCGGTAACAGGCTAAACGCAATAATATCGAGCTGTAGGCGTTGAGCTAAGCGGTTTAAGCGATAATTGCCAGGTGATGGGCAGCTCATCGAGGGGGTTGACTGCTGTTCTTCTGCTACTTGCGCCCGCCGAGGTACTCAGAATCTCTGTTTGGTATACGAAACTTAGAAATACATATTTCTACTCATCTGTTGCAAAATCCTTCGTTGTGATTAGAAGGAAAAGAAGTATATTTATATCCCTTTGTAACATTTGAATTCTTATTTCTTCTATCAATATTTGAAAGGCTTAAGATCTCAGGAAATCATTGAAGTCATCGATGATTTCTTGAGGTTTTAAGTCTTTCAAATATTGATATTTGATCACTGCACAAATTTCGATTTTTTTCATTTTTTACAAAACTCAAACGTTGACTTGTTCAAATGACTGTAACTCACAAACTATTCGGTGAAATGTCATGAAATTTTGACAGCGGAGGTTCGAAGGAATATATTCAACAGCCATGAGATTAATTTTTGTACATGGTGACATTTTGTATCCAATTCCAGAAACTTTTCAGCCCATGTAGTATTGTGTCTGCCCTTTTCTTTCTGCTTATTTGAAAAAATCCTGCGATCCAACACTTTCAGCGCGAAACAATTTTCTCGTTTTTAACACTCCTAACAGACCGTTCCTCTAAATTCTCTGGATTCTTCGGATCTGTTGATCGGCCGCGGCTGTTTTTGTCGGTGATTTCCACGGCAAATCACGTTGGCCTTACCGTTTTATAGATTTATGACGGGGTGATAGCGCGCGCAACGTGCGCGCGGGACTACGCAGGATAAGCGTCGCACGAGCAAACGGCCCGATATCGCCGATATTCTCGCTGGCTAACAAACACGCGTTACCTGCATCGTGTGTACACGCTGCGCCAATGTGTTAGACCAGACCGCCTTATCTTAAGCGTGCGGTACGTCCGCTACATAGGAAAATATGATTTATTTCTGATAATCCCGGCGAGAATGAGACAGCCTTTGCGGCGCGAGGTGTCTAATCTCTTCGTGCTATCTCAGATTATCCCAGTCGGTCCTCTATATTGCCAGGATTACAGATTTCTCTCTTGGTATTTTTCTTTTTGTCAATTCTCAGTATAACCGAACGGCCGAATGTCTCGTTATCGATTGATCTTTACAGCGATTACCGAGAGTTACGAAGATGATGTATCATATCGGGGATATGATATATAATAAATTTATTATTCTACAAATAATTAATATAACTAAAAAAAATATGTTATTCCAAATTTCATTATTAACATTTTATTCCTTTTTAAATTATTAATTTTAATTTTATTATTTATTGTCGAACATTGTGTTGTCAATTATTTAACATATTTTCTTTTTTACGGATTCTTAATATTACATAAATTTAATGCAATCGTAATTTGAATAAATTTTAATCTAAAGATGTGCGCATTTATAATTAGTTTAATAGCGCTAAAACTTATTATTGAAATCAAAATTTCTGGCGTATGTTACTTTGCCTTACGTTAATAATCTTATTTATAATATCACTGTTAATAAAGTTTTAATCTGCATTTATTTCCGGATTAGATTAATAGATTTTTGCCTTTATTCAACAATAAAATAAAGAGACTGAATGACGCATGTACGATATCGATATAAAAAAAGAAGATAGATTTAGCTCGATCTGATTTAGCTCGATCGAATTGAACGATTAGATAGGTTCCGGATTACACTCATCATCGTAAAGCTCGGATTTGATATTTTATCTGTGTAAGAAAACCGACACGGATTACAGTACGATCGTTTGTCGGTCGAACTGCAACGTTTCTTGACAATCGCGATTAATTTCCCCTCCGTGGTTGCAGATTTTTTCGTTTCTACATTGTTGCGATATTGGAAATGGTTAATCTTTAGATTATTTAGCAATAAAGTAAAGTGCTTTGTATGTTTTTATCTATATTCATAAATTTAAAGCTATATAACTTTATATGAAATTTATAAAATATATGTAATACACATTATCGAATTTATCAATTGCAAATTTTTTTCATTTTAATTGGCTATTTATTGGCGATCTGTGTCAAAAGATTGTTGAACAAGTTGTCATTTTTATTATATAAATCTCTTAGTACGACTAGTATAATTGTGCCAATATTAATTCGATATACCGCATAACTTTTGGCATTCCGTGCGCCAGGCGAAGGACGAAGATTTCGCTCGTTTGATTAATCATCGGAATGGCGAATTGGCGTGAAGTTTTCGAACTTTGATCCTCCACCGGAACGATCAAAGAAACCAACCAGGATGGATGGCGGATGTTCGGGGGATAGGAATGCAGGTTTCGGGGAGAAAGAGAGCGAGTAATGGCCGAGGCAAGGTTGATAAATAGGAGGAGGGCTTTCTCCTCCTTTCTAATAAAGACGCTCTTGTCGAGGGGTTGATCTTTCCTACGAACTAGGAATACTAAATTTGTCAGGACTTGAGATGTCATTGCAAGCGTTAGTGGCTGGCGGGGTAACGATGCATAAACGATCGCGAAAAATGCCCAATCGTTTCGTACCGTTGCATCACTATCTATTCATATCGGATTTCGCGTACGCCACCTTTCAGCGATCGATCAACCGTAATAGATTTAAATGTAATTATGTAATGGCAGATATATTTGTTTGATAACTTTTAACTTTTTACTTACTATAATACAAAATAAAAATGGGAATTTATCATTAAATAAGTATATTTAATAGAACTATCTTTAACTATTGCAAATCTGTAAAATTAAAATCAATGTTTTAATACACATTAATATGTATCCGATTAATATATGTCTTTTTTAATATAACAGATTCCATTAGTGGTATTTATTTAATTATTTTAATATTATGATATTGTTTTTTTTTAGGAGGATGCAATGTTCGTTTAATGTTCCCGAGACTGTGGGCGCCCTTCGGCAATGCCACGGAAATTACGAATCTGCCACCGTTACCAAAGAGTCATTCAGGTATGTGCATCAAAAGCCAGTAATCCGCTTTATTGACAAGTTCGTATATTCAATCGAATTATATCACGAATAAAAGAATCTTTCAACATCGAACTTACATGCAGTCATACAGTCTCTTGACTTTCCGCATTTGATACATCGGGGAAAGAAAAAGTTCTAAATTTTGATATTCCAATTATTTCATATCACTTATATCTCGTCGATAAATAAAAAAATCAATGGAAATAAAAGCGTGTGTAGAAATAATTCGGACTTTATGCTAATTGCTTAAATATTGCTTTCTAACAACAAAGGCATAGGTATATGTTTTATCAAAATTGAAAATTATATAATGTTATAGCGTCTTAGATTAAAATAGATCGAGCGTTAAATCGTGTGTACTATTTTGTGTACGTTTACCTGTTACTGATTATTGTTTTCTACCTCACATTGTTTGCTACAGATGTATGAACAACATAAATATTTTTCAATAATATCAATTTTTTGCTTACGTTAAATGTTCGAAGAAACTACTTTTACGGCGCTTCGTCGCTGCACACTTCGTTTGTCGTTGCTTCTTATTTCTCTTTGAAAGGTGTAGACGGGCGGGTGTAGAGTCGACCTTTCGCCCCGTCGTGATGATGGCTTCCTCCTTAGCCCGGATGACGGCAGGTTTTTATTTGCCGATCATTAAGAACGACCGGTCGTCGTCGACGATTGGGATAAATGGTAGCACGCGTCATACCACGCACGGACATGGGCCTTTCTGGCTCCTGCCGGCCCAATTGGAGTGGATTAGAGGCGCGGGCACAGGGATTCGGTCCGTCGGCTCCTTTGTGCTTTGTACCTACCCTGAATTAGTAACATCTTGTCATGTTAAACGTCCGTGCATGTACTCTCTTCCTACTTCTCCCGCGTGCGCGGGCGCGCGCGTGCACGTGGCCATTCATCTGCCCCGTTCATTCTCAGACATGATAAGATCAACCGCGTTACTTTTATCGTCGCGTTTATGTCGCCGCCGCTCTGCCAAGATTTGCGTCGCGCAAACATGGCGCTGGTTGAGCAATATCGTATTATTATTTATATAGACTATCACTGCTATCTTTATTGTAGAAGAAGCAGGAGATCACCAGAAAATCGTATAGAAGCTATTTTGAGACAAGAAAGCGGAAATATTCTGTGATTTGTTACTATTAGGATATAGCGTTGGTGAAATGAAAATCCTCTCAGCTTATCGCAAACAAGTATTTTCTGCAAGCAAATGAACGTCAATAATATTTATTCCTTTTTAAGATTTTTAAGATTGGATAATTTAGAAATTGTATACATTAATAATAAAAGATAATTGTACAGCATAAAAATAATGTTACAGTCTGTAGATACTTGTGACATTTAAACATTAAGAAAGTATAGCCTTAGACTTTCTAAATAATTCACTTCCGAAGATATTTAAAAATAAAATTTTGTTTTACATCCTTGATCAATATGTAAGATCGATTTCGGTGTATAAACGTTTCTTGTGGCAAATCGATAAGACGATTCGTGACAAGGGGATGACGGTACCGAAGATGGTTGTGGACGTGGATTAATAAAGGAAGGCCAAGTCGGGGGGACAATTAGATCGAGTTAACGGGCAACTTTAATCTTCTGTCGTCCGTCAGTCGTTTACTGCGTAGCGATCTGCCGCTATTAGCACCGTTACACCCTTCAAACCCCTTCCGTGCTGACGGTTCGTGGAAAGGAATACGCGTGACCTTTGTCGCGCAAGCGGCGTCAATAGAGGCCGAGTGACAGGACGATGTGGGTTTTCAAAAACGGATTTTTCATCCAGCCGTCAGTAGCTGTTTAAAGTTAATCCCGTCACACGAGATCGAGGCACTATCAGGGTGTGCCTGAAAAAACCATGAAAAAAATTTGGAAGGAAGGATTTTAACTCGAAGTGATTTAAACTGTGAAGATGATAGATTACCATCTATTTTAATGCATGCGAATTAAGAACATTTTTAATAATCTGTTATAATATATCTATTAAAATTATAATATATTAATGTATTATACTTTTTCTTCATTTACCTACTCAAGATTTATTCCATTCGGAAATATAATTGGATATATCAGCAATTGTGTTTTAATCTCTCTTCTAAGCATCTTATTTAGCCTATTTTGTAACGATAATAATTAGTAGAATCATTTTATTTTTGATATATCTCAAGTTATGTAATATTTAATGAACAAGTTGACACGTTCTTACTTTGGCTCAACTACTTCACCGCCGGGCTTGTACCGCGGCTACACTCTAGAAACTTTGTCTTGCTCATCCCGTAAGCAACTTCGAGCACTTTACGCGAATATGGCGGACGCGCATCAGTGCAGGCGGAACCGTCCGGACAAAAAAGATCTTGAAGTTTCGATTCAAGAAGTTTCATTCACTGTATCGGGAGACTGAAAGACCACGTGACGCGCATTTCGATGCCAGTGTCAGATGCACGTGTGCGTAAACGCGCCTAGACTCGCAGAGATCCTGTCAAACCCGGACCAAAGTTAAACCCATCTGCCGGACGGTCGTCGACCGTTTTTCTCGCGTTGCGGTTTGCACCGCCAGTTTTTAGCGCATTCCAGTCGACCCAGACGCAGCATTTGCGTAAGCAAATCTTCCTATCACGCCGCGAGACACATCTGTCTGAACTTCCTCCTTCTTTTTGCCCATTCTTGTCTCGCTCTCCCTCTACCTTCCTAACAACAAAACGCAAGTGAGGCAATAAAATTGTGTTTAATTGTTATAAAATTCAAATTCCTAAAGAGATTTTTAGTGAAATTAATTTTTGCCCAATATAGTACATATTTATATTTAGTATCCATAATATTAAATTGTCGTTGTTAATTAATATAATATAAAATCTTTTACCCGCATCTTTGAAAATGTTTTAATATAAAAAATAGAAAAAATATTTATACTACTAACTGTTTCCAAAATTTATCGGCCCATATAATATTTTGATATACATTCTAATAGTTAAATTGATTTTCAGAACTGCAAAGCATTGCTTTAAATCTGATTAGTTTCATGTTAATAAAATGATATACAAATAATCACGCGGCAAATGTGCAAATTCTAATTTTAAGATGCGTTGCTTTGAATATATACCATTATAGAAGCAAGGAAAAAATTCGGATGTAATATTGGTAATTTCATTAACCCCTCCTTGCGTTCTCCTTTGTGCTTTTGACCGGTGCAATAAAGTACCTATCTGTCTCCTCGGACAGATCCCCGCAGGCGCGAGGCGCGCGTTTCTCATTACATTAGGCCACTCTGTCTCGAGTCGTATTTTGATTCGATTGCAAAGCCACCAGGAGACACGATAATAATCGACCCCAACGACGAGGCTCGCGGAGAGCTTTAAATGCGATTAGAGCCAACACCGCGGTGCATCATACAGGCCGACACGTGACCGCGTGTCGCGCGCACGGATTATAAATATAATATACCGGGTGTGCAAGAGACGCAATATGAGTGGTATCTATATGCCGAAATTGCCGGAGATCGAGAGGGGCTGTATGATAGACTCGAGGTCCGCCCTTCTTACTCGCGTGGCGAGGCGCGATGCACACGCGTGCCCGATTTCCGATTCATACTGCCATAAATCACGACAGTCGAAGCGAGCTCCGATTATTAGAGAAGCCACATAATTTCTGGACGTGATTCAACTTCATATTTTAATACGTTTTGTTATCACATCCTAGATATTACGAATTTAAAGTTTGTGATCGATATTCCCCGTACAAGCAATGATTATTTTCTGAAGTTTTTTTTGAAACTATGAATAAAAAACGTATTAAAATTTCTTTTTAATAAATCAACACAATTTAACAATAAAGGCACGAGAAATGGTGAAGTCCGTAAATCCTTGGCTTACTATATCATACATAAGTATACAAAATCTCTTAATTGTAATAATTGTAATGCGTTGTATGTTGGTTAGACCGGTAGACAAATAAAAACATGGATTTCTGAACATCGAAATCATATTAAATAGAAATACGACCACTCATTCGATGATTACTGAATACAGGAAACATCACACAATCACAATTTTAAATGGGATGATATAAATTGATTTTTTTGCCTAAACGCTTAGAGAGAAAACTAATATTGAAGGTGTTACGTATAAGAGAATTAAACAAATAGCCTTAACTTATATTTTGACACCCAATTTCTACAGCACACATATATTTCAGTTTTAAATAGATTGTAAATATTGCTCTGATTGTCATTACTATAACTAGATTAATATAGAAATTCATTTTATTTTACTTCTCATTACGATTTGAACTTTTATCATAACAACAGTTTTATTTTCATGTCTATCAATTTAACTATCTTTTGACTATACATTTTCAAGTCTATTTAAGCTTTTATTTAATTTATTATTTATTGTTATGACTAGTCCATGTTCTTCATTCGTAATTTTCGATTGTCTTTAAATAAGTAAATATATATTCATTTCTTTTAGTCTTATGACTTAAATTGGAAGGTTTGTATCGTCTTGTTGTAAGATGTTTACCCTTAAATCACATACAGCACACACATGCACGCGCGCGCGCACACACACACATGGCCTTGCAATCATTGTGAGCGATACATTTCTTTAGAGATCCGACTTCCACTCGGAGTTTTAAGAACTTATTTTTTATGTAATTTATGTATTTTTTTATTATTAAATGTAAGATACTTTATCATCATTGAAAGATCCGAAGAGAATCCGAAACGTATGATTTTCTTATGTATATCTAAATAATAATCGTAATTTGCGCCCCTTTAACTACACGTGACTCTTATTACTCTGTTCAATTTTTGCGTTTGATTTCAAATTGTAATAGTTTTAACGTCAGAATCTCCGTATTGTTTGTCTCTGTTTAAAGCAGGATTTTGCAAGCGAAATATATTCCTTTTTTTATTAGAGAATATATTTAAAATTAATTATTTATATAATTTTTGTTACAACAATTTATATAATTTAAAACAGTGGAAATCATGATATTTCCAATGTTCGTAATGCAAATGATTATCCAAAATAATGCAATAAATGAATTGTCCATTTCTGCGTTAATCATATCTTGAAATCAGATCTAGATTTCTCCGAAAATACTCGTTAAATGGCGATAATAAAATAAATACATTCTGCGCGTTTAATCTAACAAATACATCAAAATTCACGATTGAATCATATTTCGTTTGAGCCGGTCGACAGATAAAATGACGCGACGTACAAATCAAAGCTGCGTCGGGAATCATCGATTTGATAATCAGAGAACACAGTAAATTCCGATTGACAAGCGATACCGAAATTGCGATCCGATGCAATTTGCAAATGTCATCATGAAAATATTAATTTAATATTTCAATAATGATAAAAGTTTAATCTCCTCGTTACATATTAACCAGCCATGGAATATTAGAGCCGTAATTACGTGACGTATTATCTAGTAGGTAATCACATTAATCATTAACAAGAGGACGTAATGCAATAATAATAGATTTTTGTGCTATATGTTACGTTGTGCTGTGCGCACGCGAAGGTGCGGTTAGAATATCGAAATTCCTATTAGGCACAAAATATTTTCCGTCGTTTTATCACAGAAGGATGATTCCATTTCATGCTGTTACGCAGGAGTTAATCACGGCACTACGTCGGATGAAATATTCCGAAAGGGTGCGCGAGGGATTTCATTAAGGACACTGCTTCACACGAAACGTCGCGGAAATATATTTCGCTCTCGGCGCCTCACTATTCGGTTCTCTCCTCGCGATACCTCGTTAGCGCAACATGAGACCCTGTCACGACCTCTCGTGCCCTGTCCGTCCCTTAAACACCCTCGCGCCAGCACGCTAAGAAAAAAAAAGGCCCAGTACGTGACTCAAATCTCATTCCGGCCAGGGTCCTTCCGCCAGAAGAAACTGTATTTATCCGTGGCCTTCCTTCTTCGGGTTCCCCTGCACCTACCGTTCTACGCGTACCTCATACGTGACGTAGCTGCCGTTCGTCCAGTCATTGACCATCTTGCTCCCGTGACCGGTATGAACTTTGGTTTATCGATTACGAAATGCTCGTCTACACGGGGATGCGAAAGATTCATGCGAGATGATTATCGATTTCTTCTTACGCGATTGAGTTTGATCTAATTTTTGTAATAAAAAAAAATCAATCGAAAAAAAATCGCTCAATTACCAATTATAGGAACAATTTCAATATGACATTTAATTGAAATAAAAATTATCGCATTAAATGTATATTATAGAACGACTATCTTTCGGAGTTGGTCGTCTGGTGGGTTCGCCGGCGACAAGGAGTCCCTCGCCGTCTCAGTCTCCCTGCCCGGATTCCCCTCCGTCCGAGCGCCGGGACGCCGAGGTGGATGTCGATGTCGGCGAGGAGGAGGTCGACGTGGACGTCGAGGAGGTCGGCGACGAGGATGACCACGAGGGCACCTCGAGTCCGCCGCGGTCGTCGTCGACGCCGTCGCCGTCGCCGGTCAGCGTCGCGACGTCGCCCGTGTTGCATCCCCCGAAGAAATCCGGCGACAGTTTCAGCGTGTCGGCACTCCTCAGGCCGGATCCACCCTCCGCGCACCTGCAGAACGCGTCGCCGCATCGAGAATCCGCTTCCATCGGCGCCCATCCACCACCGCCCGGCTCGTCGATCCTGTACCCGCCGTTGCACCTACAGGGCGGCCTCCTGCCGCCCCATCCGCATCACCCTCTCTCGTACCTGCACCCCCAGCTGCTGCCGCATCATCTACTGCCGCCGCACCTGCACCCGTTGCTGCGCGGCGTTCCGGCTCACCCGGGACTGCACTCGACTCACACGGCGCACGGGCTGCACCATCCACATCCACTCGGCGATGTCTACAGCTGCGTCAAGTGCGACAAGATGTTCAGCACGCCGCATGGGCTCGAGGTACATGTGTGCATTCGACGCGCGCTTTTTTCCAGACTTAGTTGTTTTGATTCATTTCTGATTCATCGCTGCTGACGCTGACGTTCTCATCCGCGTTCGTTCTGACAACTTTATCGCGATGTAACTAATTTTTATTATTTCAATTATTTCAATATTAAAAGTAGTAACGCTGTTTTATTTATTTTTTTTTACCTTATTTGCACCCAAATATAATATCTTCATAAATTTGTAGAATAATATCTTCGTAAATATCTAATATTTTTGCATTATGTTAAATGTGTGCATGTAAGAGACATTATCTTACTCATAAAGAAACTATTTTAAGTCTGGCGCATAATTTTTTTTTTTACTTAAGCCTGCCTGTTGTATCACAGATTCTTATAAATTTTGTATATCGGATTATCTTAATATGCTAGCTAACAAGACATATTGTTTTACGTAGGTTCATGCGAGGCGGTCACACAACGGTAAACGGCCATTCGCCTGCGAGTTGTGCAACAAAACCTTCGGCCACGAAATCAGTCTCACGCAGCACAGGGCCGTGCACTCCGCAGAGAAAGTGTTCGAGTGCAAGCAATGCGGTAAAGCCTTCAAGAGATCCAGCACGCTCAGCACTCACCTTCTAATCCACTCGGACACGAGACCGTACCCTTGCCAATTCTGCGGCAAGCGATTCCACCAAAAGAGCGACATGAAGAAGCACACTTATATACATACCGGTAAGTGATCTACAAGTTTTATTTTAAAAGTAAAATCTATTTGGAAAAATCGATTTTTTTTCTTTTAATAACTATAATAATATCTATATCTCGTATGGTTAGAAATAGATAATAAACTCAGAATGAATATTAATATCTATATAAATGATTAGCTATTATCGATTAATATATTTTATGTTATTTTAAATATATTTCATAAAATTTTACTGTGTTACCGTCGACTTCAATTTCGCAAACGAATTCAACGATTTTAATCGTAAACTTACGAATTTCTGTATTAAAACCTGATAATTTTATTTGCTAGAATTCTCCACGCGAACATGATCATAAATGATCTTTCGGATTCGTCGGTATTCTTGCGTCGCTTTATCTAATCGGATGGAAATACTAAAAATTACTCGGATTGAATTCACTTGGAATGCAATTATCCCATCTTTGGACAGCTCGCTAACTTTCGCGGATGTTATACGAAAATCGCGCTCGTGATTCCGATGGGTATCGTTATCGAGGGGACGTAAGGGATCAATTAGTCCGGCAAGTTCGTGCGATAAATAATGCAGCTAACCGTCTGGACCGAGTCCTTGTGAGAGCTAGGATCCAGTTGAATATAGCACATGTGGCCAATGCATTTCAGGGATGCCGAGTCCCACATTGCGAGTTTCACTCGGTAATAATCGTAATGTCTCTTTCGGGGGTCTCCCCCGTCCCTTCTGTATTTAACGTTCACGTTCCTTGCTCCCACGATTTGGGGTGGTATCATGGCTTTCCTAATCTTGGAATGGAACTTCGTCGTGACAACGTAGAGTCTGTACAAGCGGATAATCTTATACTTACAAAGTAGATATTTCGACTACTAATTGTATACTATTGTTACTATTGTAACAATAACAAAAATATTTCTCTGATTTATTGAAATATTTGATATCTCAAATAATTGAAATTAAACTTAAAAATCATATGACTGTTAAAATATCTAATATTTTTCTTGAGTGCCTATATATAATGATTTGAGAGCGCACATTCGAGAATTAGATGTTTATATTTAAAATAACATGAAAGAGGGGGAGACTGAGATGAGCTTGCTAAAATGTCATACATTTGAAGAGCAACTTCAAATTATTATCAATAATGAAGGCATGATCTTTTAGCGGCTTTTGTCTTTTCCTGATAGTATCTTTGCAATGCGTGTTTATCTTCGACAGCACGCATCAATGTCGGACGCGTCGAAGTCCTACGTGCGACTGGGGAGGTTGAAGCAAAAAAATTGAGGGAGTCGCAAACCGGTGGTGGCGGCAGGACACTTGACACTTCGGTGTCTCCCGGTTGATGGAGCGGAGTCTTGAAGGAGTAGGTTTCTCGGGGATGGAAAGAGAGAGAGAGAGAGAGAGA